CCATGCATCTATCTTCCCATCCACCTATCCATCCATCCATCCATCCTCCCATCCATCCTGCTATCCATCCATCCATCCTCCAATAATCCATCCTCCCATCCCTCCCTCCCTCCCTTCCTTTCTTCCTTCCTTCCTTCCACCTATCCATCCAACCATCCTCCCATCCATCCATCCATCCATCCATCCATCCATCCATCCATCCATCCTCCCATCCATTCTCACATCCATTCTCCCATCCATCTATCCATCCTCCCATCCATCCATCCAGCCAGCCACCCACCCACCTTCCCATCCATCCCCCCTCCCATCCATCCCCCCTCCCATCCATCCACTCTCCCATCCATCCATCCATCCATCCATCCATCCATCCATCCAACCATACATCCATCCATCCTCCCATCCTCCCATCCATCCATCCATCCAGCCACCCACCCACCTTCCCATCCATCCACCCTCCCATTCATGCATCCATCCATCCATCCATCTATCCATCCACCCTTCCATCCATCCACCCTCCCACGCATCTATCTTCCCATCCACCTATCCATCCATCCATCCATCCTCCCATCCATCCATCCATCTACCCAACCATCCATCATCCATCCATCCATCCATCCATCCATCCATCCATCCCTACATACATACATCCTTCCATCCTCCCATCCATTCTCCCATCCACCCACCTTCCCATCCATCCATCCATCCATTCATCCATCCATCCATCCTCCCATCCATCCATCCATCTACCCAACCATCCATCATCCATCCATCCATCCATCCATCCATCCATCCATCCATCCATCCCTACATACATACATCCTTCCATCCTCCCATCCATTCTCCCATCCACCCACCTTCCCATCCATCCATCCATCCATTCATCCATCCATCCATCCACCCATCCATCCACCCTTCCATCCATCCACCCTCCCGTCCGTCCGTCCATCCATCCATCCATCCATCCATCCATCCATCCATCCATCCAACCATCCTCCCATGCATACATCTATCCTGCCGTCTATCCATACATCCATTGCTCCATCTTCCCATCCATCCTCCCATCCATTCATCCATCCATACTGCCATCTATCCTTCCATTGATCCATCCATCCATCCTGCAGGAGCCCAGAAGTTCAAGGCTGCCATGAGTTATAATTGTGCCACTGCACTACAGCTTGAGTGACAGAGAGAGAAACCATCTCCAAAAATAAAAAAAGAATATATTGATTTCATGCCAGTTACATAGATTCTGTGTTGAACAAAATTAGATGTGGTTCCTTCCTGTCTTTAAGGAGCATAAATCTAACAGGAAGGACAGATAATTTTTAAAAAATATATCAATGTGTGTAAAATTTCAACAGGAATAAGCCCCAAGGAGGTGTGGTGCCTGGGGCTATCAGAGTAGCTAATAGAAGAATTTGGGATAGTTTTGGGGAAGGAGAGGGCAGAGGCAGCTTCCTGGAGGGGTGACGATTTCTTTGAGAGTGGAAAGAACCAGTGTTCTTGGAAGAGGGTGGCCTGAGCGAAGGGCCTGTGGCAGGAGGGAGTGTAGAATTCAAGGAACTGGGAGGAGGTCCTATGGCTAGGAATGTGCAGAGTAAGGGGAAAAAGGCAAGAAATAAGGTGGGCGAAGGGGGAGGACCACAGCACACGAGGCCTTCCCTGCCCACCTTGCCTACCTGCCCCAGACACACTGAGGAGCTGGATTTGGTCATTGTTCTTATGACTGCCGTGTTCCCAGATTTCCCCTTCATATTCTGGCAACATCCACCGGAGCCAGCTCCTGTGTCCCTGATGTGACTGCCCCTGACTCCTTCCCCTCCTGACACCTGCCCCAGGTACTAACACCTCTACCGATGATGCCTCAGCCTGACCCTTTGGCTTTCTGACCTCGGACCCCTCCCTACTCCCTCTCCACCTCTCTGCTTCCCACTTCCCTTGTTTCTAGCTGCTCCTTTCCCTGTGAGCCACATTGGTTCCAGCCCCAGTCTCTGCAATCGCTTCCCCAAATGAAATGAATCCAAGGACCCCTAGGATGGAAGCCCCGTCACCATGGTGATGGTCAGTGAATGTCTCTTTAGTGTCTATTTCCCCATTCAGTGCCTGTCTCCCCATCAGACTGAAAGCTGCAAGAGGACAGGGTCCTTCCCAGGGCCCAGCACAAAGCTTAACACGCAGAACATGCCCCATAAATGATATCCAACCATGACCCTCCCTTCCCCCAAACCACCCCACAGAGCCCAGTCCGGCAAAGCCTGAGACAAAGGAGCTGCTTTTCACGCAGACACAGACAGACTGATGGACCTGCTGGAGGACCCGGGGATGGTGAGAAACAGGCTCCAAAAGCTTTCTGGCTGCCAGTATTTAACACACAGAGCTATTTTCAGATGCTAGTCACAGACATTTTGAACTGCATTAGAATAAACAGAATTCTGAATTATCTTCTCAGCAGTACACGAAAGAACTGTCTATCACCCAAAAGGGAAAGAGGGAATGATGAATTTCTAAGGTAAAAATTCTGGAAGAGGGGGGAAATAATCCAATCCACAGGCGGTTCTGGAATCTTCTCACACAACAGGTGGTCCCCCGTCCTCCAGTCCCCCAACTCCTGTGATTAGGAGAAAGTGGAAAGCTGTCAGCTAGACTGGGCTCAGGCTGGGGATCTGGGCTCTTGGAAATGTATATTTATTTGCTCATGCTAATGGTCAGCAGACCAGGATAAATGGGGCTGGGGCATTAATGCAGAGCCCTGTAAATCATGCATGAAGAGGAAGACCATGCCCAACACCGAGGGGCCGGCCAGCCGAGGAGGCTGCATGAAATATTCAGCAGCCTGCCAGACTCAGGCCTGCTCCAAATCCCCACGTCCAGACCGCTGAGGATGTGATTTTTGCAGAAAGCTTTAAAAGAACCTCAAATGCCTTATCCTTGTGTTCCCCAAGTCTCCTGTCAAAGCTGGTTCCTGCTGAATGGTGTCTCTGTGTTCCGCCTCTGGGGCCTTGGTCATGAGAACCCCACACTGATGCTTCCCCTCCCTGGTGCCACGGCAGCATTGCTCACCCTTCCGGCCCCACAGCAGGCTGTGGTTTCCCTCCCCACCGACCACAGGGCCATTGCACATACTTTCCTGCTTCAGGAAGGTCCCTGCCTGGCTCACCTTGTTGTCCTTCTCTTTAGGTCTCAGCTTGGATGCTACCTCTCCAGAGAGGCCTTTATTGCACCCCCCACCCCTAAGTTGGCCTTCTGTGCAGTTCTCTAGCTCTGTCCTCTATCTATCTGCCTATCACAGCTGTGCTCATTCTGGGGGCATGCTGTCACTGGCTCTTTGCTGGTCTCCTTTGCCAGAATTAATCTCCATGCTAGAAGAGGTTCTGTGGGCCCATTCTCGCTGCACTGCAAAGCAGCATCTGGCATATGGCAGGACTCAGCACAAAGTCATGGAGTGAAAAACAGGTGCCCCTCAGCAGGCTTGGGGTGAGCATGGAGGTTCATCCCTGAACTCTACATCTCCTCTGAAGAAAATATTCTGATCCTCAGATATGATCTTCAGGTTCCCTATCCATGAAGTCTGTACAACCAATAAACCAGGCAATGACTCGACGAATAGGAATAGTGGGGTTTTGTTCCTGATCTATTCTAACTGCAGTGGCCAAATTAACATATGGCAATGTGCTTTGTCAGGACAAACAAACAATGATGGATTCATACCCACACTGAGAGGGGTGAACTGTGATGCCATCCAACTTCCCTCCCAGTACAACAGGGCCCTCTGGCTTTGTGTGGGTGCTTGTGGATGGACACCTCACTTCCTTCCAAGGTAGCTGGTTCCACTCCCAGCCAACAGCTCAGGCTGCCTCCCAGCCCAGCTGTCCTGCAGGTTCCAGCCCCACAGCATGTGCGTCTCTGTGTCCTCTAGCCAGTGGGCTTTCTACTTTGAGAATCTCAGCTTCTCGCCCAAAATGCTGGATTTCTCATGGAGATTTTCCTGGATACGATGAGCAGTCGGGGTGACCAAATGGACCATGTGTATTGATGCAGTGAATGTATGCACCCAGAGAGAGAGAGGCCCTGGTGCTTCCATTCTGATGTGTTCTTGGAGAAAACCATTGAAGAACTGTGGTCAGCAGGTGCTCCAGCAGTTTCAGCGCCATGGGCTTAGTGGGGCTCCATGGCCCTGTGTATGCATTTCCATGTCCTGCAGCCAAGGCATCAGCTCACTGCATTCATTCAATAGCTCCTGAGTTCCCACCACGTGCTGTGTGTGTGTGGTGGTGGGGGGTGACTTTTTAGCAAGCAAAGTCAAACCACACATGCCCCCTGCCTTTTAAGAGTTCAAGATCTGTAGCACAGACAGCCATAGGGACTAGGGACTCCAGCACCGTGCGCTGTAGTGGATGTACACAGAATGCCCCATGGGCAGGCACAGGTGGCAGCTAATTCCAGCCGGGCTTGCCTGGGGATTCCTTATGTGACACCCACTGTAGACGCAGCCTGCAGCTGTTTTCTTCTGCGATCACCTCCGCCTTACAAAGGAAGGCCATGCACTCCTGCGTGAAGGGCTGCTCTTTGCTTCTGGTCCAGACCTGCTCAGACTCCATCACACCCATGGCGTGGCTTTGAGACGATACTCATCAGGCTCCCTGAGCTGCTCGGGGACAGGCCACTGTGAGAATTCCACTTTGATTTTCAAGCAGCTGAGAAACCAGAGACGTGGTGAATCCCCTCAGCCCTCCGCTCGGAATAAGCTCTCTGTCTGGTGAGAGCAGTCACTCCTCCTGTTCTTTGAGGACAAGACCAGTAAAAGACTTGAGTCACCATTTCCAAAGAAAAACAAGAAGAATGCAAATTCCTCAGCTTAAAAATATATACAAAGGGACTGATTCGATATAACTCTCTGGAGTAAGAAGAGCTGTGACTTCCATTGGCTGGTGCTGTTTAGAGAAGGATCGCTGTGCTGAAGTTGAAAAAGAATGTATTCAGCTTTGATATTTGAAGGAAGTGTCCCAACCATCATGTATTTCTGCCTGGTTTTCTTTTAGAATGCAGCAGCTGGAGTCGACATTAAAGAGCGCCGTTTCCCATTTGCTGCGGAAGATGTTTAATTGGAAGTCTCTCCCTGCCCCTCGGTAAGCCTCATTTCTGCGTATTAGCTTTACACATGAGTTCTGGGGTGACTGGTCAAGACGGGAGTCTGTGTGTAATTAGACCAGACCGAGGAAGAAGCAGGAAGTTTGCTGGTGGAGAACAGGGGAGTCTGTGTATCGCCTTTAATCACTCTTCCCACCTGGTGTAATGTTCACGTGTTATCTTTCATCCCAGCCATGGGGACAGCACGCCAATGCATGCTGTCTCCTCGTGGGGCCCTTCAGTCCATCTCCACGACCACCCAGCCCTCACTGTCATCTGTCTGACCCCGCTGGCCTTGCTCTTCTTTTTGGACGATAATAACCTCCCTCCAACCACCCTGACACAGTCTCAGAACATTTGCTTGGGCCGTGGCCCCTGCCCATTCTTTCCTCAGCTCCTGGCCTACTTGGTCCCTTCCCGTTATCCTTGTCTCTGCTTAAGCATCAGCTCCTCAGAGGTCCTCTGACCAGCCCATTGCAAGTTTTTCCCCTTCCTCCTTGCGGTTCTGCTCCTCCCTCCACCTTGCAGCTCTGCAGCTTCCCGTGAATGTGCTTGTTGACATGCTGGCTATCATGTGCCCCACCTGGCTGTTCACCCCTTGATGCCAGCACCAGCTTTCTTGCTGGCTGCGTTGCCACCTGTGCCTGCAGTGGTGGCTCTGTAAGCATCTGCTGAACAAACGCATGGATGAATGAACGCTTTCAGATCCAGGCTGTGTGGGGGTCAAAACTAAAGAAAACAACACACAAAATGAGTTAGGAATGGGGTTTATTTAAATTCTTAAAAGCTGCTAAGTTTCTGTATGTCACAAAACTATATATTATTGAATATTTTAATTAGTTACCTGATTGTATTCTACATTTTCCTACATTTTTCTCTTGCATACGTTTTGCCTTTTCATATGACAAAAATTTTTGGTATTGCTTTTAACAGAACAGAAAGATAATTCCTCTAGTGTGGTCAGGTAAACCTTTTTTTTAAAGTTATGGATAGTTGGTGGCGTGCAACATGCAGATGGACACACAGACAGACTCACTGTGGCATTGGGTAAGGTTTTGTCCTATGGACACAAGAATTTTGATGGATTCTTTCTCTTTCTTTTTTTGAGACAGTCTTGCTCTGTCACCCAGCCTGGAGTGCAGTGGAACAATATCAGCTCACTGCAACCTCTACCTCCAGGGTTCAAGTGATTCTTGTGCCTCAGCCACCCAAGTAGCTGGGTAGCTGGGATTACAGGTATACACACCACATCCAGGTAATTTTTGCATTTTTAGTAGTGGCAGGATTTTACCATGGCTGGTCTGGAACTCCTGGCCTCAAGTGATCCACCCACCTCATCCTTCCAAAGTGCTGGGATTATAGGCATGAGCCACTGTACCCGTCCTTAGTTTCTTTTTCATCCCATAAAAAAAAAAATGGTTCATTTACATTTGTGTATATGCATTACAAATTATTCCTTACAAGGGAGAACATTTATTTTGACTAGGTAATGATGAGAACTGAATCCTCTCCTGATAATTGCATGTCTGATGATAAGAAGGTTTTTCTTAGACTGGCTTCTGGCTCCATACATTTCAAACCTTGCTCCTTTTCCTCTTCCACCAAACCCTGTGGTGCTGGGCACCAATGGGAAGCTCATCTGGCCCTGGGATCCTGGCAGGACACTGGGAGCGCTATTGCCATGGGCAGCAGGATTGTTCCTGGAAACATCACTGACCCAGGACTCCTAGCACAATGGCACTCGATGTGGAAGTGGCTTCATCCGAATCTGCCACTCGAGCCTAAATAAGTGCTTTCCAGAAGAACAACAGCCCCTCTGACAGCTCTCGAGGTGAGGCAAACCCTAGGGATGGGAAGCCGGAGCAGAAGGAGATGGTGGCCTACAGGCAACTGCAGTGAAAATCTGTCCCCATCAACAAGTTTTGCAAAGCTATGGCCACAGGAACACATGACTAGGGCCCCTCCTAGTCTTGGAAGGAGCCCCCATGGAAATGAGGGCCTCGCAGTGAATCCATCTCTCATTCTACTTCACCTGCAGTCAAATGAGAAGAGATTTCAATCAGCTAAAGACACCCTATCCCCTCTCCCCTACCCCTGCGACCCCAGGAGCTCCTGCCTTGTCACTGTGTCTGTCCCCAAAGGAACCACATCTGAATCAAGCCCCTTTCTCTCCCCAGTGGTCACCATCTGGGCTGTGATGGGCAGCTTCCACTCTTGCCTTAGAAGACGATTGGACAGGTGACTTCTTCTCCTCACGTGGAGAATACATTCACCCCATGGCTTTCCATCCAAGCTGACCATCGCTTGACTTTTTGGTGTAGCTGCTATCCTTGGCAATGTGGCCCTGGAGCAGCTGTCCCCAGCCTGCATTTGGGGGATTTCATGTAATTATGAATAGGATGCAAATTTTATAGCCTCAGTGAAGGGAAACACCCCTGGTGAGGCTTCCCGGGGCCAGAGAGAGGACTCCACTGAGGGAGACGGTGGCAGAGCCATTCTTTATGTCCTGCTTTTTATTTTTATTTTTAATATCCTCTTTATGTCCTGAGAGCCATGTGCAGATGGGGAAGAATGACATGCAATGCATTTTTGCCTGCCACAATGACTTTGCAATCATGGCAAGCAAAATATTTTAAAGAGTAAGTGAATTGAGGAAGATATACTGCCAAGTCAGGAAGAAATAATCCACCTGTTCAGTGATTTCAGGAACTGCTGAAGAAAATCACCAGTGAATACCAGTTTCTGCAAGAGAATCTAATGCAGGCTTTGCTTCTCATTGGAATCCCCCAGCTGGTGTCTTGGTTGACTGAGAGTCTGGGGGAGAGGGCAGCGAGTGGATTTATTCTCTGCTAGGTTTTTAACAGTCATAAAGGACTGTGGTCCTTAAGGGCACTGCTCAAACCTTAGTGTGCATCAGAATTACCTGGATAAGGCCAGGCACAGTGGCTCACGCCTGTAATCCCAGCACTTTGGGAAGCTGAGGCGAGCAGATCACCTGAGGTCAGAAGTTCAAGACCAGCCTGACTCTTTTAGCAGAGAAATCCTATGTCTATTAAAAAATACAAAATTTAGCCAGATGTGGTGGCGAGTGCCTGTAATCCTAGCTACTTGGGAGGCTGAGACAGGGGAATCACTTGAATCTGGGAGGCAGAGGTTGCAGTGAACTGAGATCACACCATTGTGCCCCAGCCTGGGCAACAAGAGTGAAAAAAAAAAAAATTACCTGGAGAGCCTGTGAACATGTAGAGTGCTGGGCCCCATGCCCAGAGATCCTGATTCAGCCTGTCTGGGGTGGGCCAGAGATTCTGCATTCTGTCTAAGGAGCTCCCAGGTGATATACATTTGCAGACCACAGTCTGGAGGTTTAAGAACTTGGAAGACCGTGGCTGGCATATCTCGAGTCTCTGCCTTGGTATCCTTTGCCAAGCAGAGAAATGCACTGTTTATGTTTTCCAGGAGCTCAGGAAGCAGAATGCAACCAATGCAGATGTAGGGGCTGGATTCTCTCTATGACTGAGTGGGAGACTCAGACCCAAGAAATGCCTTGTGTTGGCCCTGAAATCCACAATGGCTTGCTGGGCTGGAGGCCACCAGTTGATGGGACCCAAGAGAGGAATGAATTATTTATCTGGACTCCTCACAGGGAACAATGTCCTGCAAATGTCCTCCCCACCATGCTGCATGGAATTCATAGTCAACCTAACAACCAGCTTAGCATCTTCTCTCCTGGACCTTGCCCCTCCAACCATATCAAACTTTGAGGAGCAATTAGGAAATCACTTGACATCTTTCCTGAGAGCCCTTGGGTCCCAAAAGCTAATTAACCTTCCTCTTGCCTTCCAAACGAAGTAACAACCTCCAGAGCCAAGTCTTCTGGAACAAAACAGGGAGGAAGAAAGAAACTAAGAAAGAAGCACTACTTCTGATTTTTTTTTTTAAATGAAGGTTGGCATATAATTTTAAAAATAAACTCCATGGAAAGGATGTTGTGGGGTTCAAAACCCCTGCGAGCAGTTCCAGCAGTGCCAGGATGGTCTCAATGGCAGCTCTCTGCTCATCTTTGAGGTCTACTTTGCCCAGCAGCTAATTCTTGTGGGCAGAAACATGCCAGCTTCTTGTTCTCTGGAAAGTTCTGGATGGGAACTTGGCGTGGGAAGTCGTGAGTGCCCTGAACTTGGAGGTGGAGCTCATTGGCACCACAGTGATGGTCCCGTCTGTGCCATGTAGGCTTGACCAAGCAACTCAAGGTGTCCTGGATGTCCCAGACTAAGAGAGGACTTACCGGCCTCCACCATGGAATCTTGTTGACTTTCAGTGCACAACGCAAGTCCTTTCCTTCAACACTCCTCTCTAAGAAGACACACAAACACTTAAGGACTTGGGCTTGTGAAGGGTGTACATCTGAGCTCAGATTCCCATTCTGACGCTTACTGGCTATGTGACCTACACTGTGATTCCCAAACGTCCCCATATCCACATACCACTGTGTCCCACTGCACTAGCTACCCGGAGCTGCCATAACACATTACCACTAACTAGGTGGCTGAAAACCAGAGAAACTCATTCTCTTATAGTTCTGGGGGTCAGAAAACTTTTTTTATTTTTTTGAGATGGAGATTCGCTCTTGCTACCCCGGCTGGAGTGCAATAGCATGATCTTGGTTCACTGCAACCTCTTCCTCCTGGGCTCAAGCAATTCTCCTGCCTCAGCCTCCCAAGTAGCCGGGATTACAGGCATGCACCACCATGACCAGATAATTTTGTATTTTTAGTAGAGATAGGGTTACTCCATGTTGGTCAGGCTGGCCTCAAACTCCCAACCTCAGGTGATCCGCCCCCCTCAGCTTTCCAAAGTGCTGGGAGTACAGGCATGAGCCACCACACCTGGCCCTGATACCTTAAATCAAGCACCTGCTGATACCTTGATTTAAGGTATCAGCAGGACCATGCTCCCCAAAAGCTCCAGGAAAGGATACTTCTTGGCCTATCTTCTGGCTTCT